GTTGCTTAAAAGATTTGGATGGCGTACATTTGTACTCGCCTTTGTCACATGCATAGGGCTTTTCACTTGAGTGAGTTCGAAAGTGCACCTTCAGACGACTCAAGTGAGAACATGAATATGAACAAAATTTGTCACACAGGTAGGGTTTCTCTCCTGTGTGAGTTCGCATGTGTGTCTTAAGACTGGATAGTTGAGCGCACCTGTAGTCACAGGCTTAAGGCTTTTCGCCTGTGTGAATGCGCTTGTGTCTCTTGAGGTGAGTCATAACAGAGCATCTATAATCACACGTATCACAAGCATAGGGTTTCTCTCCTGTGTGAGTTTTCTTGTGTTTCTTAAGATTGGATAGATGAGTGGACCTGTAGTCACATGTCTCACACTTGAAGGGTTTCTCTCCTGTGTGAGTTCGCTTGTGTGCCTGGAGAGCATAGGATGTCGTACATTTATACTCGCATTTGTCACATGTATAGGGTTTCTCTCCCGTGTGAGAGCGCATATGTATATTAAAACTGGATAGGTGAGAGCACCTGTAGTCACATGTGTCACATGCATAAGGCTTTTCACCTGTGTGAATGCGCTTGTGTGTCTTGAGTTGAGTCATACTAGAGCATCTATAATCACACATATCACACGCATAGGATTTCTCTCCCGTGTGAGTTCGCTTGTGTGTCTTAAGAATGGATAGTTGAGTGCACCTGTAGTCACATGTGTCACATTTGTAGGGTTTCTCTCCTGTGTGAGCTCGCTTGTGTTGCTTGAGATTATTGGAGGATCTACCTTTGTACTCGCATTTGTCACATGCATAGGGCTTTTCTCCTGAGTGTGTTCGAAAGTGCACCTTCAGACTACTCAAGTGAGAACATGAATATGAACAAATATCACACACGTATGGTTTCTCTCCTGTGTGAGTTCGCTTGTGTGCCGTAAGAGTGGATAGTCGATTGCACCTCAAGTCACATGTGTCACACTTGTAGGGTTTCTCTTCTGTGTGAGCTCGCTTGTGTTGCTTGAGAGTATCGGAAGATCTACCTTTGTACTCGCATTTGTCACATGCATAGGGCTTTTCTCCTGAGTGTGTTCGAAAGTGCTCCTTCAGACTACGCAAGTGAGAACATGAATATAAACAAATGTCACACACGTAGGGTTTCTCTCCTGTGTGAGTGCGCTTGTGTGACTTAAGACTGGATAGTTGAGTGCACCTGTAGTCACATGTGTCGCATGCATAGGGTTTCTCTCCTGGGTGAGTTCGAAAGTGCGCCGTAAGAGTGGATAGTCGATTGCACCTCAAGTCACATGTGTCACACTTGTAGGGTTTCTCTCCTGTGTGAAGGCGTTTGTGTTGCTTAAGAGAATTGGATGACGTACATTTGTACTCGCATTTGTCACATGCATAGGGCTTTTCTCCTGAGTGTGTTCGAAAGTGCAGCTTCAGACTACTCAAGTGAGAACATGAATATGAACATATATCACACACGTATGGTTTCTCTCCTGTGTGAGTTCGCTTGTGTGCCGTAAGAGTGG